AAGGTGATACAAACAGAAAATATTCGCGAGATGTGATACAATTGTGTTTTAAACACTAAAAATACGAGACCGAATGTAGCCATTCTTGGTTCACCGTTAAATTGAAGACGTGTGCCATGGAGATGGAGGAACTCAAGCAGAAGAGATGGACTAACGACAAGGAGGCTGTACGAGCAATCAAAGATGTCACACTAGCACAAGGGAAGTGTGCAATCGTCATCAACAGAGGGGGGACGTTTTGTTTATTACAGTGTGGCAGTGCAACTATTGGTTGTGAGTGACACGTTCGTCTAGCACGATTTCGATCCAAGAATCAACCAGGAGACTGGCATGTGACGGGAGGCAACCTCGATCACCAAAACTGTGTCAGTGTGGCTAAGCCATCACGAATCCAGTTAGTCAACAATCCTGTGGTCCGTGGTGCACTTGCAGCTAACCCAGCTACATCAACCAGCGCTCTCGTCGCACAGCTTCAACACCAAAAGAAGATAACAGCGTCACAGCACGTGATGTATCGCGCCAAGGACTGTGTGATGGCAGAGCTTCACGATGGAGACCGCTGAACATTCGCCTCTTGCCCAGTCTGTTGGCAGAATTTCAGCATCTGAATACTGGAGTGTTGACGGAGGTTCAGTGTGACGAACGCGGGCGATTCAGACGTGCGATTGTTTTGCATAGTCCCTCATGGTTCACCAATGGCCCTGGTGTTTACGGAGTGGATGCAGCGCATATTAAACACCGCAAGTACAAAGGTGTTCAGATCGTGATGGTCGGTCGCGATGGTAATCTTACCGACAAGATTGTTGCTGTGGCACTAGCTCCAGTCAAAAACTATGACAGCTACCTGTGGTTCTTCAGTAAAATACTACATCATGGCTTTCCGCTGACTGAATGCCCAGTCTTTAGCGATCGCAACGTCAGTCTGGTTTCGGTCGCGGAATCACTCGGGATCTTCATCATGTTTTGCGTTCGTCACATCATCGGTACGTGGTCTAGAGTACATGTTTTGCTAGTACTCACATGAATTATTTCTCCATAGGAAATATGAGAACTGATAAGACAGTCAGACTAACCGTGACTCAAGAGCAATTGGTATGAAAGGCGAACGCAGCTGCGTCTCATGCCGACTACGATGTCGCTATCGGAAAGCATAATGCTGTAAACCCAGCAGCTAAAATTTATCTTAGTGCCATACTTGCAAGCAAGTGGACACTTCAACCCAAGTCAACACTACACCCTTGTATGGCTGGCGGACGACGAACTTCGTGGAAAGCAAACAAGCGATGAGTCTTCGCCTTAAGCCACGGAAAATGCAACCATACAAGATTTTCAAGTCATATCTGACAATTTTCATGGGTGAGGCGTACAACCGGGTCCGACTAGGTCAGTTGTGGGTGAATGCGGAGCGTAAGCTGACGCCGCGTGCAGAACGTAATTTCAAACTCAACTCGGAGATGCAGCGGACTACATGGTGACATTTAGTTCAGATGACGTTGCATTCACTGCCAGAATCAGTAACCCGATGAAGCAGCGTCGCGTTGAGATGAAAAATCGACGTGTTCATGCGTGTCGCCATCTAATTGCGACTCTTCTCGAGTGCAACATGGCCCAGTCGGCGTATGAGTTGATGGGTGAATGCTACAGGGTGGCCTTGTACCAAGAAAATCTCGGGAAAGTAGAGATCCCTCAGGATGATTTGCTTACAGCCGACCTTAGTATCTCCCCAGCCGCGTATGTTCGACAAGCAGGTCGTCCAAGGAAACGACGCATCAGATCCTATGATGAGGTTGGCGGAAAGGCGAGGAAGCCATACAAGTGCACCATTTCTGGGGTGCTCGACCACAACAGGGCAACATGCCGATTAGCAGCTTAGGTCAAATTGTCGATCATCAACTTTCCTCTCGAGAACAGCACATCGGTTATATGCACCATTTACATCCATGTACACACGTGCATCGTTTGAAGGATGTCACTAATATCGATATCCGCATCGCTATAGCATCAGTATTTGA